ACTCAGCATGGTGCCCTGCACAGACGGTGATCAAACAAACAGGTGTTGGTTGAACCTAGGCTGTAACTGTTGATAATGACGGTGGGCCATTTGCATTCAGAGATCTGGAAACAACCTACGAATAAAGAACTTGTGCAGCCAGAGTCGCTGTTCTGGGGAGGAACCAGACATGCACCCTCTTCCAGGCAGTCCTCCCTGACTTCCTCTGGGATCCTTCCTCCTGTGGAACAAGCCTCTGCTGCTGGCGCCTGCTCTCTCCACAGTGACCTCTACCCTAAGCTGTGCTCTCTTGGCACCATGACACCTGGCTCAGGGTCTGGCACCTAGTGGGCCTCACTTCTCTGGACATGATATCATCTTCTGAACTCTGGTTCCTTAGGCCTTTAAGACGGCCAGACAAAAATAAGCACCCAAACTTTTTGGAATTAAAGCAAAGTAAAATAGTCACTTTCTGACAAAGGATACACACTCACCTCTTCACGTTCTTCATATTCTATGTAGAATGTACAGGAACTTTGCATTTAGAATGTTCTGTGAGGTGACTGACAGTTTATCTGACATATGTTAAGCAGTTATCCATTTTGCCAACAAATAATTTTAGTCCATATTTTAAAAGGAACAGCTTGTGTGCTATCAATGTCCTTACCTCCTCAAGGAAAGAGCTCAAGTTCTGCAGAAAATATTTCCAATGTATCTTGGGGGTTAGGTGAATTCGCAGTTTTCTCAGAAAATAGTGATACTGGTTGTCGGAGAGTTTGGGACAGAAGTCCTTAAGAACTTGTCCAAATTCTTCAGCCTTTACAAACCCCGTGTCCTCTTTATCCAATTCAGAGAAGGTCTAGGGAAGGAGACAGAATGTGACTGTAGATGCCTGTCAGTGAGTATTTTTAAAAAATATTCTCCTTAAGCACTGTTTCTACTGCACACAACTGAATTTAAGCATGTCAAAGTCCTCTGAGAAGCCTAAGTCACTACACGTGGAAAAGCCCTCCACAAGTCCCAAGCCACTAAATGTGTGAAAGTCCCCCATGGGCACTGAGCCACTAAACACATGATAGTCCTCCATGAGTCCTGAGCCACTAAATGCGTGAAAGTCCTCTGTGGGTCCCGAGCCACTAAACGTGTGAAAGTCCTCCACGGGTCCCTAGTCACTTAATGGGTGAAAGTCCTCCACGGGTCCCCAGCCAGTAAACGTGTGAAAGTCCTCCGTGGATCCCCAGCCAGTAAACGTGTGAAAGTCCTCCGTGGATCCCTAGTCACTAAATGTGTGAAAGTCCTCCACAGGTTTTCAGCCACTAAACGTGTGAAAGTCCTCCGCGGGTCCTGAGCCACTGAACATGTGAAAGTCCCCTGAGAACCATGAGTCAGTAAACCGAGGCACTGCTCTTGAACAACTCTCCAGCTCCAGGTGCCATCGAGGCGACTCCGACCTGCGGTGCCCCCGAGTGGCAGAGCAGAACTGGGCTCCACGGGGTTTCCCACGGCAGCTGGCTGGAAGTAGACTGCCAGGCCTTTTGTCCGAGAAGTCTCTGGGTGGACTCGAACCACCAACCTTTTGGTTCACAGCTGAGCGTGTTAACTGCACCACCCACGCAGTCCACTGAAGGAGCAGGCCAGCTCTGAACACGGGATGCGAGCTTGCATGTGCAGCAGAACCTGCGGTAGCCTCTCCTGCTTGAGCACAGTGAGGATGAAGGCTGAGGAGACCGTATGTGGCAGAAGGCTCACAGCCACTGCGAGGACCCCTCGTGCAGAGGAGACAAGAGGCTCCAGCGGGGGGTGGCTTGCCCAAGGTCTTGCAGCTGTTCATTTAAAGCATAAATCTCTTGGAGCAGGAGGCAGCTCCTGGCTCAGGGGTGACCCCACAATCATGGGGCCCAAGTCATGAAGGAGGAGCCTGGCTTTCTGGGGGGCCGGGGTCACAGGTCATGGGACACCCTAAGGCATTCACATCGAGACTGCTGGCCTTTGTGGCCTCTTGACTGGAGCCCATGTCACCTCATGTTACGGGAATGGGGAGGCAGCCCCTGCTGCCACAGGCCAGGGCTGGAGGGGCAGACAGCACGAGTCACAGCAGTAATCAAACTGGAAAAGTGCAAAACTGTGCTATGAAAAGAAAGCACTTTTTTTCCATCTGTCAAAATAAAATCATTCAGATTTATTGCACTTGGAAATCTGTACCAAAGATTTTTCTTTTTTTTTTTTTAAATTAAGAATTCAATACACTTGCTCACCTCACACCAGTCCTCCTGCAGTGAGTTCTCATTCGGGGCTAATCAGGCCCACCCCATGGGCCCAGGGGGTGATGATACACATGCAGCCAAATTAACCCTTGAAGGGCTGCACAGCTTGCAGCTTCACCCAGCCCCCCCCCCGCCCCGGTGCTCACCCAAGGCCCCTGTGTAAGGTGGGAAGACCCCTGGGTGGCAGGCAGGAGGTGGTCTCTGGACCTCGGCTCTGTCACCCACCACAAACCCTTAGGCTTGCTGAGCTTCAGCCTCTTTGCTAGTAAAGGATGGACTTCACGACCCAGAGGCTGTTGTCGGCTTTCCCAAGGTGCTCTGGTTCCCCAGTGCCGCTCTGACAAGAATATAGCACAGACGGCATGGCCTTAATGACAGGAGTTTATTCTCTTATGGCCTGGAGACCCTAAGTCCAAGTTCAAAGTGCCAGGCTCTAGGGGCTGGGTGAAAGCCCCTCAACCTTGGGGTGCAGCTCTGCCTCCTGCTCCCGGCCCACTGGAGCTAGAGGTGTTTCTTCACTCAGACAGCTGCTGGCTGCTGAGGCTGAGAAGCCCAAGGTTGACAAGTAAAAAGGCACAGTCCTGATGTTACTGAATCACA